TACTAGAGATTGGGAACTACGGTTGTGTTTACAAATAGATTTACCTGGCTTGCTCTCCTTTGCGGGTTCTTCTTGAGGAGCGACTTCTTCCTTCCTCTCCCTCTTCCGCTCTACGGGTTGTTCCTTTGCTGATGCTTCAGTATTGGTTGGTTCGCCTTTTTCAGCAACATCAGTGGAAGGAACCGTCTGTTGTATTGTTGACAATGGCCTTCCTCTTGAAATAATTGTTCTGAACTATTGTTCCACCAAGTTGGAGAGTAAATGATGGTGAAAGCGAGGAACAAATCACAGTCTTGTTCGCTGCGGGTAGGTACGTACCAGAGAGGGTGGCTCGACGTCAGTAATTCTCCACCATTTGTTGAATCGGAGCAAGCACCAACAAATAGTGGAGAACGGGTTCGCGTCGCGCCATACCCAACATGACACAACCCGGCATCCGCAAAGGATAAGAGTTAAAGAGTCCCACGCTCATCATATGGGCGTGGCCAGGCCTACAACTGGGCCTCCCTGATTTGCTAGCTCCTCTTCTTCAATTAATATGAAAAGCAGGGGAGCAGCAGCGTGAAGTGTTGAGCCCGGTTCCATTCATACGGACAGTTGCAAATCTGCCTGTGACAAAATGGTCTTACCGTTCTATAGATCGCGACCGCTCCTGAAACGTATCGTCTGAAAACTGTACTCCAGCTGATGCCGAACGTTTGTAGCTTCGATTATGGCTGGAGAAGCGGGGTGGAGGAGCTTTTGGCTGACGAATTTCCACAAAAAGTCCAGCTGAAAACGAAATTTATTACCACTAAAATTTTTCACCATCAAGTCTTACCTTCTTGAATCCTAGCCTGTTGCCGCTCAGATAAAAGGTGCCAGGCGTCAGCTTTCACTACAGAAGCCGCGTAATGTAATAAATGCTTATCGACCAGCTCATATATACGTCGTACGAGCGAGCAAAACCTCTGAAAAGAAATCCACTTGGAACCAAACAAGACCAGGAGCCGTATCAGAAGAGCCTTTCGGTGCTACCAATGAGGCATACTTCACCGGGCTGTACTCATCCAGAGGAATACTGAGACCGCGACTGGGTGACGGCGGCGCTGTTCGAATATCCTCCAGTAAAGAGTCGAGACCCTTGAAAGTTTTGATAGCCACATCTGCCGACAAGGAGTGCACAACCGATGGTAGTAGTCCCTCCAGAACGCCGAGATTCAAGGCCAAACCCTGAGAAATTCAACTGACTTGTTATGGATATGAGCTTGTTCTGAAAAAAAGGTAGGACAGCACGAAGGCAAAAATTGTAGCGCAGTTATGGACCACGAGTCAGTTGTGGCAGAAAACCAACTACTGCATTCAGGAAGTTCGGGACGTACGAAAACCGGTTTCTTGCCTCCAGCATACAGGGTCGGATGATGGACGCGCAGTCTTGTTCGCTCCGGATGATGGGGCGTGTCAAGGAGGGGGAGAGGATGGGATTGGCGCAACGCCAACCCGTTTCTTTGCTTGTTTTTCCCTCGGCAAACATCAACTGTTATCGGTTATCCGCTTAAACAACTGGTGGATATTGGGCTGGCGCGCGCCAAACCCAGTCACTGACACGCCCCATCATTCATACCAAAAAAGGCCATACAGGACAGCTTAACGAAAGGGGCTCGGACAATGGAGGACTACCAAAATAAATAAAAGCAAAACAAGCAAGCAAAGCAAGCGAGCATTAGGATTCCTTCTGGTCCAGCCAATTATAATAGGTTGGAAAGAAAGTCTTGTCACTGTTGTGACTTTTTTCTTTTTATTTTCTAACTCAACATACAGTGGGAATTAGTCAACAATATACTCGTCATAGTTAGCCACTACAGTGTTCTCTGAGAAATGGGGAAGCTGCGAGTCGAGTAAGTGGGCGGCCTCTCGACTGATGTCATCAAAATTGCTGAATGTTTTCCTAGAAAAAACCCCAAAGAGGCGGAGCAGGTAGCAGTCGTAGGGGACTACGTCAGGAGAATATGATTAGTGGGACTGGTCTCCCAGCCTTGCTCCTCAATTATTTGGTAGGTCTCCATAGCAGGCTATGGGGTTCGCGTACTACGAGCATGGCCCCGAAGTTAGTCTCGGTCATTTTTCTCCAACACCTTCCACGGATTTCTGAAGCTGAGCGATATACAGGGTGACCAAAAAGTTCTGGCAATTTCGTGTTTGTGCGTTTTTGAATGGCCATTATGGTCTGTTTTCTCTCCGATGGGTTATTTGTATTCCGCAAGCCATTTCGAACTACCGTACGAGTCATCTATCCAATCACTTTCGATTTCTCCTCGCACTGTCTCGAAAAAATCAAAAAGTTGCAGTTGTTGAAACCCATCTTCTGGTCGGTGCTTGTTGCTTGAAGAATGTGCTCGCCACCGACGAGAAAAATTTTCGATCACAACTACCGGAATTGTTGTCTGCTCCTCAGAAAAGGTCAACAGAAGGCAACGGCTGTGAAATCCGTCGGACGCAGACTCTTTCCAGCCTCAGTCACGGTCTGAGGCGGGATCTGTGCCACCGGAAAGACCTCTCATTTCTTCATCGAGCGCATCGTAAAGATTAATGCTGTCTACTCCCAACGCGTTCTCCGCGATGTACTGAAGCCATGGGTGTCGTAGCACTTCGGCCCGGATGGACACGTGCTTCAGCAAGACTGGGAGCCAGCACATCCTGCCAAACCCACGAACTGCCGCTTGTGAAGAGCTGCTTCCCGATTTTGGGGCAAGGACGTTTGGCCTCCCAACTAGCATGGTCCGAACCCCATGGATTATTCCATCTGGGTCGAAAAATCTCAGGAATTCGATGCGCAACGGTTTACCACCTGAAAGTGGCGTTGCTGCGTGTTTGGGACCAAACTACAGCAGAAGAATGCGCGACCATTGTCGGACACTTTGGAAAACGACTACGTAAATGTGTTGAGGCTGAAGGAGGCATTTTTGAACACTTGTTGGAACTTTGTTGTATACGGTCATTAGTACTGATTAGATGAAGACTCCCAGACGTTTAGTTGGCTGATTTCCTTTTTCGAACGGTATTTTTTATGCTACCGAAGTATTCCGAAAAATTGCCAGAACTTTTTGGTCACCCTGTATATGATGGCGGTGACGTGCGTGTCTTACAGGGCAGGTCGTTCTGCAGTATTCCCTCGAGTCTCAGGAGCAGCACAGGAGAACATTCCCGGAATACATGCCCAGTTCAAGGTATGAGTGATCCATCGAGCCAGTACTTTTCGGTAGTCAAGGGCTTACAGGCGGTTGACGACTGTCAGTTAGGTACATCCGAGTCTTGTCGCAAGACTGCGGGTGGTAGCCTCCGGATCCTCCTTGACTGCTTCGAGAATGGTGGATTCTTCCACTCCGTGGGGCCGTCCCAACCAAGGTTTGTCTTCGAGGATCGTGTCTCCTTTCGCGAAGCGCGAACCAAGAGGTGGACGGTCATGATGGTAGTGGTGTCCTCCGCCAATGCACTGTTGATGTTGCGGACAGCTGCCGTGGCTCCAGTGCCGCGGGGCCACTGATAGAAGATGATGACCCGAAGATGCTCCTGTGAAACTGACATCGTAATTAAACCCAGGGAAGAGCAGGCGCCCTCACACACCTCTTGCAGGGAAGCTCTTAGAATGTTCTACAAGCATAGCATGTTACGTCATGTTCGAGCATCGAGAATCAAAAACTGTAAGCTTTCCAAAAAACACTGACAGGACTTCCTTTCCAACCTAATATTAGTTTTCGGATTATAGAAGGTTAATCCCTCTGCTAAAATGTCACCAAACGTTTCGTGTACTTTACACAGTCTTGTTTGCAGCGGATGCCGAGGGTGTCAGGGGGCTGAGTTTGGTGTGGCGCTAGCCCGTTCTCTACCGATTGTGTCGCCTGCGCTCTCCAACATCTAGTGTAGAGGCTGGCCGTGCCAAACCCACACCCGCCCTGACATGTTCCTGCATCGCAGCGAATAAGGAGCAGGTGGACCTGATGACATATAGGATTTCATCCAAACAGCGAGCTCTTCAGTTGGAGATTGCAAATAGCAATTATTACATGAATTAAGATGGAGCAGCTTGGGGACTTCAAAAATCGGAACAAAGAATGCAATCTTAGACATTTTATGCAATACTAATTTACTCACCTTGCCTTGCTGTTGAAATGAGCGACTGGTGACAACCAAGTGGAAGGAATGAACCAAGAATTGCATGGCGACTTCCAGCACATCGTCGACGAGTAGTAGAACTGCCAATGCAGATTCGGATTTCGAACGGGGTAGAGCTATCTGTGAAAATATAAGAGATCAAACCACAGCATGAAACGCTATACGGGCGCATCATCAATGATAGCTTGGAGAGCACTTGAATATTCTGTCATGAATAATGTTCTTTGAAACATAAGATTATGTAAGCTGGTAATCTGCTTGGCAATTATTGCGTTCGATCCCGTAAGATGCGCCACTCACTCGACTTTCATTTAAGATCACAGCGGACGTCTAATGCAAATCCAACCATTACAACGACCCCTGAACTCAGTGGGCACGACTGCTGGAGGCGGGCGGTTGTTGCCCGCGTCATTGGCGGAGGGGCTGCGAGAGGCCGTTTGGCCGCGCCACACTCATCCTTCTCACCTGTGAAGATGGCGACAAGCACTTACTTCCGGCCAACCTGCCCACTGCCTTTGAGGACCACTTATCCCCACCATTCTTCGTTCCCTCAGGCGATTTGGTACCAATAGCCCACCAATACCAGCCCAAATTGCCACGCAGATGAGCTATTAGAACTCGCCTGGCTAGATGACATATGATTCATGCAAATGGGACGCATACATGTACATATTGGGGACATTAGGGATGATAGAGTTATAAAGTTCCAGTGTTGCTAATGGAGCACTTACCTGTAACCGTTCACATCCGAGTATTGTATCGATTAGCGTTTCATCATCCATTTGCTGGATAATGGCCTCATAACATTCTCGTTGCCATCGCTCATTCAGATGACCAAAAACTCTGCCCTTCCAGATCCGAGCAAAGTGTCGTGCTTGCCACGCAAGTGCCTGAATATGTCTTTCAAATAGGTTATCGTTTCATGGCTATTGATACTGTAGGCCACCAAGTTTACTTTACAGCACGTCAGACAAGTTTTCACGAGCGCTGCACGTTAGCTGATTGGTTTAGAAGGCAAAATAGACAAGTAGACACATTAAAAAGACAGCGCAGAGAGATTTATTACAAGTATTGTCTTCATAGAAAAGACTTGAGCTGAGCTAAGTTTTTCACAGAAGAATGTGCCGCACGCGAAGAAAATTTGGAGTAATATGCGTCGTTGGTGGTCCCGGGCGACGTTGTCCACTATGCTTGCTTGGGAATCGTTTCTTACACACGGTTCGCTTCATGAAGCTGAGCGCGCCCATGACCGCGAGCTCAAAACCGGACTTACCGGAGTTAATGGCACCCACTCCTAGAAGTAACCCTGGGAGAAATCTTTAAAGGCAATCAGCACGATAATTTGGTACTCGGCCTAAAATGCTAGCAGGGCGCTATATAGTGGGGAAAATGGCGAAAAAACGAAGTGAAACGGTCAAAAACTGCGAAGAAAAGCCTTCGTTTTCAATGACTTGAAAAGCAATTTCGGACGAGTTTCCCGTAGGCATCTTGCCAATAACCGCTACGGTAGGTACGGCTGCACGTATGTACTCATATATCCATGCAGCATCACAGCCGCTTCATACCAATCCCTTCGCTTCATATTTTACTTAGCAAATGAAGCAATACGAGCATCAGGAACGGTCGTCCATTTGTGGGCGGGCGGGCGTGGTGGGCGTTCGGGTCGGTATGTTGCAGCTTGATAGAGCCTTATAAGGGTGCCTTCCTTGAAAAGCACTACACAGCGCCTGCTCCGGGGTCGCGGAATTCTCTCCTGCCAGGCGTATTAACCCTAGATGTCTTGAAGATTTATCGTGCCAACTGCCTTTAATGTCACGCCTCACTGGACGGTTTTCTGCCCGCCGTGGAGGACCTGCTCAGGAAAGCAAGCCCAATAATTATGGTTACCACGGATTGAATATCGATTCGACAGGTCAACAGGCTCCAAGGATTAGTTAAGCCCTTTTGTCAAAAGTGAAACATGAAGTTACTGGGATTTCAAGTTTAGGTGCTGAATTGAGCTTGAACATTGGCTAGTTCGAGAAGTATACTTACCTCGTCATAAAGTGGCTTAAGACATCGTATCGATGCGAACTGTGGTAGGGCATCGAACACTGCTGACACGCACGATGCACATGGCTGTAAGGGCACTATTAATAGGAATACAAAAATTTTTCATGATCCGATAACGACGGTTCACGACTAACCTTACCCTTTCTCGGTTATGGCAGCCGCACTGCAGAAAGGCTTCATGTCACTACGATTTAGCTTCCGATTCATTTGTAATCAGCTGTCGGCCCAGCCACGGTCTAACCTAGGGCATGCATTCGTCTGACTTCCCCACCCTTCAGAGCCGTACCGACCTTTCTGCCCAACTATATTTTGCGCTCCCATGCCTCTTCAGTTCATACCGGCGCAACGAAGTGGGGTGGGGGTGGGGAAACGTGTCAGGAATGAGCCCACCCGCGTTTTCTAACAACGGTTGTATTCTTCCTGACCACGCCTTCACTGGTAGAAAAGTGGTGGCCGCCCGGGCTCATTCCACGCCTCCTGATACTGCCCCGCGGGATAGCCAAAGTATCAACTATATTTTCCAGTCACTAGCATGAGTGGCACTGGAAAAGTATCTACCACTGAACATTGCGTACCGTAACCTATCACAAAATGATATCAAATACGGTACTCTCTGTTGCCCACACCCACTAAAAGTCACATTTTATAAGTGTCCAGCTTCTCTCTTCATAAAACTTCGGCATACGTACATTTTGCAGGCTTTTCTCGACAGATACTTATACCTTTTCAGAATTTGTGACTTGCACAGTTCAAGATGAAACAAAACTATAGTGAAAACTTGGCATCAGAAGAAGTAGACCGATATCGTACCCGATGGAACCAATGACACCTTGTTGCTTTTAGATGTAAAATGACGACATCAGCGAGGTCTTTCTGGTTAAGATGAGTAGCCAAAGCGATGACCTCCCAAACGTCAACCTAAAAATCATTTGATAGAACAGATATTTTATAGCGAACAGCACTAGCTACCAGAGAGATTAGGAACCTTCGAAACGTTGATTTCTATCTGAAAGGATTATTGTGTGAAAAATTCCGTTTTGTGACTCACCTCTTCAGGAATCGACGTCAGACCGCCGTAAAGAAATGATAGCAAGAAGTGAATTGCATTTCGTGAATATCTAGAAGGGAAAGATTCACAGTCATCATCAAAAAACAGTAAATAAAGCATATAAAGTAGGTACATGCAGCATATATCACAGCGCTTTGAGAGGGCGGAGCACACCCGTGTGCGTGGCGGATGCTGCGTACTTGTACACTCCTTATCCCTGGAACGGATCGGGCGTGGCTTAAAGGCACATTCCGCGATAAAATAAGGCTATGACCTCTCAAATGTGTCGGACGATCCGGAAGGCGATTTTTGAGGCTGCGCTACTTTCAAAATGTGAAAAACGGCAAGAACTCCGCTAGAAGCTGACTAATTAGGCCCATGCCGACCCTCACCGGCTGCTAGCTACTAGCTAGTAGCCACTATGTTATCTTTCTCTATAACATTTCGGACTGCTTTTTCTGCTGCTTTTCTCCGCTAATCAGATACTTAGCACTTTTTTGTGCCTATTTGAGTTCCGTTTCCCGCAATTTGCGGTCGCGAACTGTGCCTTTAAGCTTTTTGGTTGCTTGTGCGATACTACAGTTTGAAACAACAGCTATCTTGTTCTATGTTAGATGTAGACATGATTACGACAACTCCTAAAAAAACCTCTTGCGAAAACCTAGTCCGCTGCCATTCACAAATGAAGAACGCAGCCACGCCTATCCGATCTCGGGGATACCGAGTATACAATGTTCCCATTTCAAGGCAAGGACAAGGCAAAGACAGCTGAGATGTCCAGCTTGCTGCACACGCTGCCTATGTCTCCGTTGTCTCTTCCCTGAATCGGCAACAATCTATTGGCAGGCAGCAGCCGCTGCGCTCACAACAAAATCCGTGGACACGCCCTCACTGATGCTGTGATATGGACTGTACAACAACACAAATCTACTGGGCCATTACCCTTTCATTTCTATTCGTTTCGATTTTTGCAGTTGTTGTCGGAAAAATGGACATGTTGCTGAGAGTATGCATCTGGAAACAAATAAGTTTCAAAAAAAAAACGCTCTGGTGTTCTTATGTATTCTCTTTCAACCCAAACTAGGAGCTACCAGGGTTAAAGTACTCGTCCTGACCCTACGTTTAGTTTGACCCTTGGATCTATGATCAGAGATGCGCCAGGTTTCTGAAGAAGATCAGGAGGTCGAGATCTCAGGTCAATAACAAGCAACTTTCCTTTGACAGAAGTGATCAAAATTTCACTGTATTGTTACTTGTAAAAGAGAAAAAAACTCACTTGTGTGCATGCAGGTCACCGCTTTCTGTACGAATAACGACATCAGTGTCTTGATTATTAAGGTACATTTGCATGAGGTCTGCTGCTAATCGACTACATGGTGCTCGATCTGATTGAGGGATTTGAGCTGAAAAAGGCTCCATGAGAATGGCTTAGAGTAGTAACAGCTTCGTTTCTGTTGCAGTAAGTGAGCAAAGCACTTAGGATGTAACCAAATAGAGTCATAGCTATGGTCAAAACCTGACACGATAACCTAATTATAAGTGGAATATCCTCCCATGGGTAATGCTGATGAGCCGTTAACTATAGAGGCTGGGAGGTTCGATCATTGTTGAAACAAAGGCGCTAGAGGAGCATACCGGCTGGCGAAATACCGCCCAGCGAAGGTGTCTCCACCCAAGAATGGAGGCGATAATCGTGTTTACCGAACGCTGGGCAGAGAACTTGTACCGGTCAACCGCTTTCTAACGTTTCCTTGTACTAGTAGTTTCAATCGTCTGAAGCTGACCAGTGAGAAACTTTAGTTGCATTGCTCGTTTAACAGAGCCTCAGTGATCCCTAATCTTCACTAGTGAAACAGAACAAGAAGACGTGTGGGAGCCTAGGTGAACATAGCGTCCCATTAGAAACCAAGTAACAGAAATCGGAGCTTGAAAAACGCATTTAAGGTGTTTAGAAAAAAAAAGCCGAGCATAAAATAGGAACCCGTGCGAGAACCATAAATGAAAGGTGAAACACTTTTGGGATAGTGCCTTGCAAGGAAAAAGGTGGTGTGAAGCGTTAGAATCGGAAATCGGAAATAAAGCGGTGCTTCAAAAAATAGAAAACATCAAAACAAACATAGACAAAAGTACTAGATGTAAAGAAACAAAAGAAATATTCACCTTGTAGAATGTTTAAAAGCTGAACAATTGAGTATTTTTTTGAACACTGCAAGCTGAAGCC